CAAAATAATTTCTCTGAAGAGCTTCAGCCATAGCCCAAAGATGGTTTTTCTTGTTTCACTTTTAAAAAAGTGAAGAGGCAAAATTTGGTGCTAATATGAGGGTGATGCTCAATGGAGTCTGATATATCATGGTCAGAGGTGAGAGGAGAGGGGGCCAGTAAGAGAGGTTTGGGTAACTGAGATGCTGTAACTTACTCCAGTGTTGTTCTGCACACTGAGTAGGAGTAGCGATTCACTGTCTGTCACTGTTACTGCACAGGCGACAGTGATACTGGCTTGCTGTGTGCTTCTGTGGGAGGGTGCAGGGGAGACTGTGGGGAGGTGATGCTCCTGAGGGATTCACATAATCCTGGGGTGTTGCGTTGACTGTAGGAGAAGCTTTGAATGTACAAAATCTAGTTTATGTAGCAGTTGGGGAAGTGATCCATAAATGGTGTCTGTGTATGTTAGTACATGTAGTGCAAGCTATGAGATTCCTTTTCCATCATTTTATCTTGAATACAGCTAAAAGTGAGAACTTCCCAGACATTTCAGAGACCATACCTTGCTTCCAGGAGAGCAGCAGCATGTGACTCCTGAAAATGTGCATAGTGTTCACACATACTCTGGCAACTTGTGCCAAGCAGAATGCAAAATAATATGCTCTGGCATGAGTGCAAGAAAACGCAAAGAAACCATCTGTTAACCTGAGATCTTCTCCTCTGGTGTTCAAGTTCCAGTATCTGAGAAAATGGGAACTCAACAGGGCTTCATATCTTATGTTTTGCTGCTCCTCACCTTTAGGCATGTCTTTTCCTTGGGATGTTGCTGGCATCCAAAATTGTGAACGTGTCCCAGTGCGGGACTCACTTTCCTCCTCCTTTGAACTAAGCTGCACAGAGCAGCAAAAGATAACCTGTAGAGTTAGCGTCCTACAGCAGTAGAAAGGTAAGTTTATCTGTCAGTCTTTAATTTCCCCAATTCTGAGAAGTGAAAACATAGGGTATCTTCAAGCTGCATTTCCTTCCTGCCTGGGAAAGAGTTCCCATCTGACATGGTAGCTGCTGCTGATGCTGTAATGCCCTCTCCTCTTGTGTGAGGGGAGAGCCGGAGACCTGAGGGTGGGAAGTCTCCATAATGCAGCAGATTTCCTTTCTCAGATTGCTGCTGCCATTGCTGCAACAGGACGTGCAAGTTAATTTGGCACCGTGGGAGGATGGCTGGGGAAGGGGGGATGTGGAGAGAGAAAATAGTCTCTTGGTGAATTCTTTGCTGTTTCTTCAAAGTCTTTGATGGTTAGGTCCATGTTGCCCTTTGCAGCAGAACAGAGCTGTTGTTTCTGTGAGGGGTTTATGTTCTCCCTCAGTATCCTTTGGCCTCATTAGCAGCAGCAGCAGCAGCAAGCGCTACTTGCATTAGCTATGTATGACAACAGCCCAGATCACTTTCTTCCTTGGCCAGAGAGATGAGGAGAAACTCTCTTAAATATGTAAGTATCTATTTAGTTTGAGTCTGTGAATGTTTTAGGAGAGCTTATGTATCAGTGAAAATACAAATTAAGATAATGTCTTTCCTCGTGAGGAAATGTAGGCAGATACATACTTTGTCACCTTCCATGGGCTTTGGCAGGGAGTTGACTGTCAGTTTTGTGCTTGCATAGACCTGATAGCAAGTGTTGTGGGTCCTCATGGAGGGACAAAACTGGACTGCTCCTCCAGGATTTAATTTGGGAAAGGAAGACGTGCTGGTCTTGCTTGGTTCAGTGGACTTCCCTTTGGCTTGTCAGAACAAGAAGACTTTTGTGCCATTCTGTTGCTGTTGCTCTGCACAAGTAAGTCTTATGGATGGGTGGACATGCACAAATGTTTTCCTGATCTCTTTCAGAAAATTTCCCAACTTCCTTTCAGATACAAGCACCTTCTCTCCTGTAATTAGGCTATCCTGTGTGTATTTGTTTGTACAATAAGGTAAAACAGTGGACTTGGCAGTATTGATTTCTGCTGCTCCCCTTCCCTCTTCAGGGTGCTTGAGATATTTTTAGAGGCTTTCATCTCTGGACTTTTTAGAGAGAGAAGAATATCCACCAGCATGAGCTGATAGGGTTTGGCTTCTTGAAGACTTGGCTTTTCAACCTAGAGCTCATGACTTCTTTTCATTATGATTTGCTCAGCATTAATGTGCAGTGAAGGGAAACCCTTGGGCAAGAAGGAGAAGTTTTAAAAGGCTTTGTTTTACAAGCCTGTTGATATAAATGCATGCAGTGAAGATACAGGATAGAAAATAGCCCTGGGAGAGGAAGATGATGACTAAAAACCTGAAGGTTTATATTCAGTGGAGTTTAAGAAGCTGTACTAAGTGTGAAATAAACCCCACAGTGCAGCCTTAACTGAGTATCTGAATAACAGGATACAATAGATTTGTGTATAAATTTCATATACAGCCTCAGTAGTCAGGGAGCAGAGAGGTCAGGTCAGGCTGGTGCTGTATGTCCAGTTCACAGGGAGGAAAATGGTTAAATTACCACCAAGGGACTGGATATGCATTGGAGCATTGACAGGTCTCTACTAGAAAATTAAATGGGTTTTCCAAAGAACTCAGTGCAGGTCCTGATGAGTGGAGTTTGTTAGCCACTTGGAGACTGGGAGCAAAATGCTTAAAAATAGAAAAGTGAGGATAAATAGAAATGGAGAGATGTGTTGTAAATTCCTCAGTGATACAGCAGCGGACAGATCTCTCTTCAGAGAATGGAGCAGGTTGCTATTAAGACTTCATTTCATCTGAGTGATAATACAAATACTCTTTCTGAAAAAGAGCTTTCTAAAAAACAAGAACACAAATCCTGCTCAGCCAGATTCTGAAATACAGTTATAGCATGGACTAGAAACACTGAATTAAAAAACAAACAAACAAAACAAACCTATTTTTAATCATTTAGATAAATGGTATTTCTCTTTGCTAAATCCAACATTTGCAGTTGTTTGAGGTTTTTTTCCTGAGTGAACAAATCCAGATTTTTTTTCACTTGGACACAGTTTTATTTTTAAACATGGCTTCCAGAAACGCATGTGTGGGATTGCAGTTGGGACCAGAGGAGAGCCATGGCACTCTGCCAGGCACTCACCCTGTCCCTGCGATACAGATGGATTGCTAGTGTTCGGGAGAAAAACAACCCCAAAACTTTAAACAAATTATACTTAATGGAAATAAACTTTTTTTGCCCTCCTGTGTAATGATTTGGATAATGCTGTGGCTGTGTGTTTCTGGAGGACAGAGGGAGGGGAAGGGGAGAGGACAGCAGAGATGGAGCTCTGTATGCCTGTAACTTGCTCTCCAGTGGATGCTCTGAGAAGCTTAATAGTGGGGACTGTGACGTTTCTAAGCCTGGAGTGTTTTTTAAGTCCCAGACAGTCTTTCTATTAGGTGAGCAGGCTATCTATAGCGGCTATGATAAAAGCATTTATCTAGTGGTTGTTTTCTTCCATATATGGGTTTGTAAGATGTGGAAAGGCATATAGAATCATAGAATCATTTATATTGGGAAAGACCTTTAAGATCATTGAGTCCAAATGTAAATTAACAGTGTCTTTAAGCACCACATCTACACATCATCTAAATAACTCCAGGGATGGTGACTCAGCCACTTCCCTGGGCAGCCTGTTCCAGTGCTTGGTAATCCCTGCAGTGAAGAAATTTTTCCCAATATCCAATCTAAATTTCCCCTGGCACAGCTTGAGGCCGTTACCTCCTGCCCTATCACTTGTTACTTTGGAGGAGAGATGAACACCCACCTTGCTACAACCTCCTCTCAGGTAGTTGTAGAGGTGCCCCCTGAGCCTTTTCTTCTCCAGGCTGAACAACCCCAGTTCTCTCAGCTGCTCCTCATAAGGCCTGTGCTCCAGACTCTTCACCAGCTTTGTTACTGTTCTTTAGATATGCCTCAGCACTTCCGTGTCCCTCTTGTAGTGAGGGACCAAAAACTGAACAGAGTTTTTGAGGTGCAGCCTTACCAGTGCCAAGTACAAGGGGGACACCACTTGTAACCAGCAGCAAACTAGCTTTAACTCCGTTAACTACAACTCTTCACACCTGGCCATCCAGCCAATTTTTTACCCAGCAAAGAGCACATCTGTCCGAGCCATGTGTTTGCCATATATCTGACATTTTCTGCGTACAGCCTTGTTACTGTCTTCCGTGTCGTTTACCTGAGTTTTGCTGGAGTTTGGTGGTAAGTGACAATGCCATGAAACCAATGCCTGATTGGACTTTTTTACTAAAAAAAAAAAAGGGGGGGGGGGGGGAGGGAGCAAGCAGAATAGGCTATAGCCTGCCTCACAGAAGAGCCATAGCCATATCTCTCTTCTTTCAAGCTGGTGCTGATAAGTTTTTTCTCTCACTTCTGTTGCTATGGTGTTAGTTCTGTGCAAAAACAAACCTTTGGGTGATCATGTCAACTGCAGAGATCATTTGGAGAGAGATGCTGAAAGAGAAGGGAAGTAGGAGGGCTCAAATTCCAGCTGATGACAAACAATGAATCAGTGTTTGTCTCAGCAGAGGGCTCTCAGAAATTTTGCACTCTGCTTTCACTGACTTTTGCTTGGATCTGATACTTCACTTGAAAAGGCTTCTTTTTCCCCCTCAAATCTTTTTATTTCTTCCTTTTCTTCTCCTTTTAGTTTTTTTTTTTTCCTTAGTATTTAAAATGGAGATGGATCTCTTCCAAATTCCACACAGCTCAGGAATATTTGCTTTCCACAGCGTGGCCCAGAACACAGAGAGCTTATTCTTGCAAATGGTTTGATCCTCCAATCCACAGAATACTGGATCAGATTTTGAAGGTCTGGGTGGTTGAAATGTACTTGCTGTCCTTTTTGAAGTGGTCATTAAACTTCCTACTGGAGTAGCTGCCTTAGTGTGCTGTCATTTCTAGTACTGCTTTCCTGGTGAAGGGGAAGCAGAACACTGTTACAGAGGGGCAAAGAAAGTGCGTTTAGTTTCATTCTCAAAATATGCCTGTTGCTTTTAGCTGGCACGACTGTTGTGAAGTTACCTTGCCCAGATGTCTTATGCTTCTGGAAAACATTGTGGTGAAAATGCCTGGATATGCCTTGAAGGCTTATTTCTATTCTTGGGTCAAGGCTGAAAAGAAGGACTGTTTTCTTGTTTTCTGAATGTTTCTGTGCAGATTGAGCTGTAAGTGCAGAAAGAATGTAAAAGGGTAGCCAATCTCAAATGCTTATTTGCTTCTTGCTGTTTTTCAAACTGGAAGTCCTGAAAATTGATTAATTCACATTTTTGTACCTTGGCAACTGGGAACTTTCTGACCTAGTTAAATGGACCCTTTGTTTTGTTGTTTCCTTCCAGATGTGATAGGCAGATGAAGAAACCTCAGGAAAAGCAGTGTGGTCATCTGAGATTTCTTTTAAGGATATTAACTGATATTTCTGGAACTTGGTTGTAGAAGTAGATCATCTCCTTCCATATCCTTAGCCAAGCTGCAATTCACTTCACTTTGCCTTAATTTTGCAGACACTTACACTTGCCTTTAGCCTTTGTGCTGCACTAGTAATGGAAGTAAATCCAAATGCCAGGACAGCCAGACCTTCTGTGCCTGTCTCCCCCAGGCACAGCTGACCAATCACCATGCATCCACATGACGTCTGTTGTCTTTGTCTTTATCATTGCGTAATCTTTGCATCTAGAGAGTCTGCTGCATACCTATGGACAGTGCATCTCATAGTCTCCTCAGAAGACATGCACAATATGTTTTCCAGTTGTATTAGAATCTACATAAGTACTTCAAAGATAGTGCTAAAGCCTCAATCTGTAACTTGTTAGTAGGAGCATCTAGTAATGAGTAAGCAGAGGTGGTCTCTGTTGGGAAGAATTGGCGGTCTTTCAGTTTGCTTTTGTGCCATAGGAAGCTTCAGTTACTCTGCTCAAGTAAGCCTAGCCCAGGTAGGAGTGCCTACAAAGAAGAGCAGTTCAGCTACATGGATCAGTTATATTAGCAACTACCAAATTATTACAAGGCTGCTAGATCTCTGCTGTTTTAGTTTTATTGGTGCTTGAGTTCCAGCCATCCTGTCTTATCATTACCTTCCTTAAGGCACTCCTTAATTCAAAGCAGGTCCATTTCTGCAGGATGGGAAATATTATTAGAACAAAACTGTACAAATGTTCAAAACTGGTAAGTAGCTTCATGGGATCTTTAATCATAGAATAGTTAGGGTTGGAAAGGACCTTAAGATCATCTGGTTCCAACCCCCCTGCCATGAGTAGGGACACCTCACACTAAACCGTGTCACCCAAGGCTCTGTCCAACCTGGACTTGAACACCGCCAGGGATGGAGCATTTACAGCTTCTCCGGGCAAGCCATTCCAGTGCCTCACCACCCTTACAGTAAAGAACTTCTTCCTTATATCCAGTCTAAACTTCCCCTGTTTAATCCTTTTTTGGTGCAAACCCATCACAGAGGAAAAGCACGACCGGTTCTCCAGCTAAACTGCAGGTTTGCTTGTGAGTTATGAAGTGCCCAGTTTGCCTTTTCGGAGTGAAACACCCCCTGGATGGTTTAAATACAATTGTTAAAGGGTCTATGAAACAGGGGTTTTATGCAGGGAAGGGTTTTGTACCATGCTGGTAGATGTTAAAGGTCACTTTCTGGTAATATTTACACAGACTAAACGAAGCAATTATAATAAACCAGTCTGCTGCTATTGCCTCTCACAGGAGCCTGTCCCAGCAGTGGAAATGATTTATTCAGTGGGAAAGACTCATAGAATAGTTAGGGTTGGAAAGGACCTTAAGATCATCTAGTTAAAGGTCATCTAGTTAAGATCATCTAATTTTAGTAAGGATTTTAGGGGTTTGTAATGCATCATCTTGATCAGAGGAAATTCAACATTAAATTCAGACTAAGTTGCTTAGGGCTTTGTCCAGTCCAGTCTTGAAAACCTTAAAGGATGGAGATCCTACAGCTTCTGTGGGACTCTGTGCAACAAACCAGACAGTTCTTGTGGTGGATTTTTTTTTCCCCTCGTTTAGTTGCAGTCTTCACAGTTTTGACTTATGTCCTGATAAATCTAAGCCCCCACAATGACATTGACCAGTTCTCTTAGTACCCTTGCATGAATCCCATCAGGTCCAGTAGCCTTCTTTGCATCAAGATTTTCTCAAGAGATCCCTAACTCAGTCTATTTCCAGTACAGGTAGTTCCTCTGCTCACAGAACCCTGTCTGAGTTACTGGGGACTCAGCACACTGCTATCACTTCTTTGTCTTTCCATGCTGTTGAGAGCAGAGTTTCTGCACACCTCACCCCAGTCTTTGTCCCCTATCCAGCTAAGTGCCAAGGTCTGCTAGTGGGAGTGCGCTCCTCCTTACCAGCTATATATCTGTTACTGCAGCAGATGAATTTGCGGAGATCCTGAGTCATTTGCTTTTGTGTTACCTGGGTGCTGTTTTGTGCAATCCCAAAGGGCAAAGGGCACAGTAGGTGTTCTTTTTATTAGTGGTGATCATCTTTGTTGGCACATTCCTTCTGCATGTGTGTTTAAGTACTGAGAAAGAGAGCTGAAGAGGGAAATGGCAGCTCAGGGTGGTAAAGCACAGGAAGGTGTTTGGATGAAGTGTGCTTGCCGATGACTTAACTCCTTTTTCATGGAATTAGACCTACATTGCTGAGAAATAAATGTCTGAGTAAAGTTTTCTGACATTCAGTGAAATATAAATTCTCATGAATTTGGGTAACATACCAAAGTAAAGGCAGTGTGTAAAGTAAATGCCTTCTGTGTGGCAACACCACCTTGGATGGTGGTAGGAATAAGAACCTCAGATTTTCCATATATTAATGCAAGTTTTCTCTCTGGTTTCTTCAGCTTGACCTCACCAAACCCATTGAAGATCAGGGCCCTTTGGATGTGATCATACACAAACTGACAGATGTCATCCTTGAAGCAGACCAGAATGACAGCCAGTCACTGGAGCTGGTTCAAAGGTTCCAGGTAAGTGGTTCTTTAATAGTCTTTATGCATTTCAAGCAGGAGGATGATCTTGGTGCAGCAAATTCAGTATTTCCTATGCAGTTGATAGGGTTTGATGAAAAGAGCTCTCTGGCATACTGCTGCCCTACTACTGATGGCTCAGCAAAAATAAGTTTTTTTCAGTCTAAATGGACTTGCACCTTTCGGTAGGTTTTGCATTGTATTGGTAAGGTTAGTAAGAACTGGTTTCCCACCAAATGTTGTCCTGATTTCATTCCGAGAGAATGAGTGCTGTTCACAAAAAGGAACAGGTATTGGCAGAGTCCTTTACATGCATCCCTCTACAACAGAAGCCACTAAATTAATTTGGCCCCATTCTGTCTGGCTTTCCCAATTTCTGGAATGCTAATTTCTGTAATAGAAAGGTTACTGTGAGTGATTGTCCTCTAGTACTGAGAGTCCTGTTAAATTTTTCTTTCCTCAAGTTTACACTGAAGGTCAGAAATATGCAGGGCATAGTGGTACAGAGAACTGTTTTCCCAAAGAATTCCTGCCAGTATACTATGTGAATGCTGATGAAAATGATAAAGGAGCACCTTCATCATTTTAAAAGGTGGCCTCTGAACGAAACCAGTAAGAAACCTTCTCTTAAGATCTGGGGCAAACAAATCTTACTGTTCTTTGTGTTTCCTGACCCAGTTCTTCTCTCCCATACTGCCAAGTTCATCTCTGTTAATATCACCTCTACTGTCTCCTATGCCTGATTTTTTTGTTGGCAGCTTGGGCTTAATCTCATACAGCATGTACGGTAAATGGGTGAGTTACTGGGTCATTGCTTTGGACTGGGGTATGCTTCTTTGTGACACACTGACTAATGTGGACAGATGAGAACATTCGTTGATGCAGGACATCATGGTGTGTGCTGGCAGAGGTATTCGATACAGCGTGTCAGATCCTTCCTGTAGGATTTGCATAGTGATAAATTCATCTAAGTATCTCCACAGCACAGGAGCATGCTGCTTTCTAAGAATAACACAGAACAAAAGGGGAAACAAGTTGAGCTGGAACAGATCTGGGTTGCAGCAGGGTGAAACAGAAATTACTGTCATCCAGAGACGAGATAATAGGGTTGGAATTCAGTCATCTGTCACTATTGCTGCTGTTTTGTTGCTATAGAGTGCTTACGTCTGTGCTTCAGCTTAATACCACCCTTTCCTAAATTGGTCTCTTTCTTAATAATGGTCATAATTTTCCTGTGAATATTGGTACTTGAGCAAAAATAATGCTGTGGTTCTGGTGAAGGTAATTTGCAGGAGGCTGATGGGAAACCGAACCTTTGTTTATTTTGATAATATTAGAAATTTGGATTGTGTCAAGTGTTGTAGAAAGCAAAGGTTGTTCGCACACCTGGGGCATATGCTGCATGTAAATCAGCACCCTTTAATTGTTGGTGTGTCTGTTAATAAGCGAATGTGTCAGTAGAATACCTCTCTCTACAGTAACACATGCTCCATATATATTTTTCCAGAGCTGACTTAGTAGAGATTAAATGGAAGTGAGGATAAGTCTCTGAGCAAGTCAGATGGAAAAGAAATAGTTCTCTGTTTCCTGACTTGATTGGTAAATACAGTTCAACTAATAGTATCAACTGTTTAAGACAGGAATAAATGGAGTGAAAAGCACCTTGTGGGTACAGAACATTGTCTTATACCAGTGTCTTCTGTACAAAGGATGGTGGCGAATTCTGCTCATGCTTTGAGGGCTTCTCTACATTTTCATTTCATGTCCCTGTTGATGGTGGTTTTAGCCTTTTTGAATGCTTTCCTTAATTCCAGTTTAGCATTGCTCTGTTTTCAATGGCGAACTTCAGCCTAACATACTCTAGAAGGGCTGTTGCAGGGTTATGCTAAAAAACTTGCTTAATCGGTATTGTGAAATGTTTGCACCCAGCTGTCTGGGGACTTCATTTTTAGGAATATTATATTTAAGCACTTGGTGTTCGTTCTTCTCTCCCTGTCATTAGTTCTTGTTTGTATAGTAAGCAGTGTATTATCTAATACATGTTTTGTTTTTTTTTTTTTGATGATGCCATCTTCCTGCAAAGTAGTGCAAGGTAATGTCTAAAGAATTAGAAGGTGGTCCTGAAATGTGGGTTCACTCACATGCTTTTCCACAGTTCATTAGTGTGATCTAGACCATCCCATTGGCATTCCTAGGCTTTGTTTTGCAAGCTGTAAATTAAAGGAAATTATATTAACTCCCTTTTGAGATTAATATGAGAAGCCCTTGAGGTCAGCTCAGAATGGCTGTCATAAGGAATTAAGGTTGTTTTGTTTCTGTTGGGAGCTCTGGTATGACTTTTCAGTAGCTATGACAACACATGATGTACAGACTGAACTGTACCCTTGTGAGTAGGCTTCTGAATGATATACTCTTCCCCATACACCGAGGCCTTGGGCCTCTGGTTCTGAGTTGTGCTACATCACTGGCATGCAGGAAACTTTCGTTGTAGTAAAACACGTACCCAGGAACCAGTGAAGGAGAGGAGAGAGTCTGCCAGTGTTGAATTACATACCAGAGTGTGCCTAAAGGGTATTCTTGTGTAATTTTGTATACAGGGCAGAAACTGACAGGAAACTTCTGTCTGTCTCCATCTGCCCTGTATTATTTTTAAGATATTGAAAACTGATTAGAAATGAAGATAAATATGTTCCATAGAAAAAAAAAATAATTGTAATAAGTGATTTGTATGAAGTGTGTGAGGTAGGATAGGTGTTTTGGTTTTGTTAAACTAAAACCAATAAGCAACTTAAAAAACATGAAGTGACCACCTGGCAAGAGAGCTAGTTATGTGTGTGTGATGTTGCCTAAGCACTGGGGTATTTCTGCACCTGCTCAAGTGTGTTTCTCTTATTTTCATTAGATAGACTGACAAGGTTCTGATCACCTTAACCAAATAGGGCAGTTTTTCCTGCTGCCGACTGTAAGTGTAACAGCAAGATGATACTTGTTGGCTCCATAAAGCAGTCTTCCAGGATGTAGAAAGCAAGGGATTCTTGACCACAGGAGGAGAAATGGTCTGCTGAGCTTAATTTATGACCTTTGTAAGAATAACTTTTTTCCAGTGCTGTATTGTAGAGGCCTTGACCCATCTCATCTGCAGGAGCTGAGGAGGAAACACATTTACATGATTCTGTGTGCCTGCTTTCTGGAGTCTGTGGTGAACCCCTGTACAGTCTGGTGGAAAGGGCTGATAGACTATGAGGCCTCTTAGCATCCTGTTTTTGACTTGCTGTTTAATGACTGTTCTTAATTGCCTTGTAAAAAGTAATCATAACAATTGTCATAGTCCTTGGTAGCTCCTTCTTGACCAGAAGAACATGGAGAGAAATCTGGTGCAAAGAAGCATAGTCTCCAGGTGTCCTTTCACTTGCTTGTGCTCCAGTTCTAGTGTTCTTGGTAAGAAAGAGAGCTAAACTACCCCAGTTCCTGCTTTATGGAAAAAGAAAATGTTTTGGCTGAGAAACCTTTGTTATGCTTTGATTAGAGCAAAATACTCTCTGAGCAGCTGCTTGTCATAGCTGTGCAGGGGCTTGAGTAGCTTCATTCGTTGCAGCTTTGTGCTAGTCTGTTCCACTCAAAATGATGTTTCTAATGATGGAAAATCAATAGGGTTATTAATTTGTCTTTCAGAGCTTTTTCTGAATGATTTTTCTTTGCATTAGCCTTCTTAAAAAGATACATCAGAAGCAGGTTTTATGCCTAGGCATCTGCTGTCAGGTTGATCAAAGTTTTAAGTGTTTCCTCCCACCCCTGCCCTCAGACTGTTGGCTCTCCCACTCTGAAGATGTCCAGGAAGGGCTCTTTTATTCTTGATTTAAAAGCTTCCTTAGATGGGTTTGGGACTGGGAGGAAGGAGAGTTAGGGAGATACTTTGGAAGGGAAGGAGTTAGAGTCTTGATCTTGCTTGGAAGGGGAGAAGTGTGTTATTCTTGCTGCACTGATTGCTTTCTTCAGAATTCTCAGCCGCGGGGATATGATTTGAGTACTTACTCCTGGAGATTATGTCAGTGGATTTTTAATGCCCCTCTAACCCCCCCAAATTCCTAACCCATGGATTTCACATTTCTTTTCATGTGCTCTGCTGAGAAAAGGCAACTGAAAAATCAAAGGAAATTATAAAATTTTAGTAATTTTTTTTCTCATTGGGCAGACAAGATGAGACAGTTGAAATGGTCTTTTTGCACCTGAATTCAAAGGCCAATACCCGTAGTTTTCCCATTTGAAAAATTCCTTATAAGCAGGCAAAATTAACTAAAAATTTTTCATTTGAGTGCTAAGTGGTAGATAGCTTCTTATGGGTAGGTATTTGCAACCTGAAGAAGTGTTGGACTTTTGAAGGTGAGCCAGAGAAGCTAAGTACTCAGAAAGTTGCTTTGAGATGTGCAGTGAATAGAAATGTAATAGGAAAGACCTTTCCTCAGTTCCCCTTGCTGCCTCCTTCATCCATCCCAGCCACTGCAGGAATCTCTTTTAGATTCAGAGACAGACAGACAGTTTTGAGGTAAGTGTTCAAGGTCCAACTTGCCTACACCTTTACCTTTGGTGTCTGTGAAAAGAGGCTATCACAGCCTAAGACAAGAAAAAGGAACTTGTAAGTCTGAATCTGATGCAAACTCTTTAGACAAGCTGGTGTCTGTCTTTACATCTGTTTCCCCACTGGAAAGTGTTGATCTGTTGTTACAAGCAGTCATCTTCATGTTCCTGTACACAGGAAAACACAAATCCAAATGCTGTTACTGTGTCATTTGCTAACTTTTTTTTTTCCTTTTATATGTAACTTTTGTTTAATGTTAAGCAAAAGATCATCAAACTTTTATTACCTAGCAATAAAATCAAGTCAGTGAGTCTCTCTTATTATCTAATGACCTAATATTTGCAGAAGATATTGTATCAACTTTCTGTTAAAATATGAATAGATATATCTTAAAATAGCTACCTTTTTGGGTAAAATGATAGGCAACTCTATTCTCATCTATACATAGGCTTGTCAAGAGAAGTTTGTTGTGAGTTGTGGCTATTTTGGTTTGACTTTGGGTTTTTTTGTTTTTTTGTTTTTTGGGGGTTTTTTTTGTTTTTTGTTTTGGGTTTGTGCTTTGGTTTTGTGGGTTTTTTTTTGTGTGTGGTGGTGGTTTTGTTTGTTCGTTTTGGTTTTTTTTTGTTGTTCTTGTTTTTGTTGTTGTTGTTTTTGTCTTTTATTATCTGGGTTATATCCAGAGGTATTTAATAGGGAACATAAAATACTTGATCTCTCTTTGATTTCAGGTTTCATTGCTGGTATTCTGCCAATAACAGGGCTGGTACAGAGCATGACTGAATGCCAAGCCTGGAATACAAACAAAGGAGGATCTGCTAAAAGTCCTTGTTCCTTCTTGTTTGCTTTTATTATGTCAAAGATTAGGAAGCGGAAAACATTGATGTTGTCTAGGTCAAGCTGAACTGCAACCCAAGGACAGAGCCTTTTTAAAATATTGTTGGGAAGCCTAAATATCTTGAGATTGTTGCCTGGGTTGCTGGAGTCTGCTGTTGGATACAAGTCTTAGGTAAATCTACCAAAGGAGGGTGCAGAGTTGTTTTGTTGGAATGAACAGAGAAGATCTGAATATTCAAAGTTGAAAGGTGCTGTACTGAAAGATCCAGTGTTTCCCTTTACCTTCTGCAACTGCTCCAATTTCATGATCATTTCTACAGTAACTCATCTGCTATCAAAGTTCTTGGACACAAACCCATGATGTTTATCCAGATCTGGGTTTCTGGTAGTGGAGCAATTCTGTGCCATGGTGTCCTGGGTTCAGCAGCAGCAGTCATGTTTCTCCTTCTTGGTAGCTGGTGCAGTGCAGTGTTTTGATTTTCGGCCTGGGAACAGAACTGATAGCGATGTTTTGGTTTGGCCAAGGACTTTGTGAGCCTCATGCTCTGCCAGGGAAGAGGGGAAGCCGGGAGGAAACAGAGACAGGACACCTGACCCAAACTGACCAAAGAGGTATTCCATACCACAGCACGTCATGCCCAGGATGTAACTGGGAGTTAGCCGGAAGGGCTGAGGGACGGCAGGGTTGGAGGAGGTATCGGTCGGTGCTTGGTCGGGCTTGGGGGGCGAGTTATCGGTCAGCTGGTGCTGAGGTGTTGTATTCTCTTCCCTTGTTATTTCCTTTATCATTATTATCATTGGTGGTAGCAGTAGTGGTTTGTGTTATACCTTAGTTACTAAACTGTTCTTATCTCAACCCGTGGGAGTTGCATTCTTTTCGATTCTCCTCTCCGTCCCTCCGGGAGTAGGGGGAGGGAAGAAGGGGGGGAAGTGAGCGAACGAATTACCTGACTGGGTTTAAACCATGACACATGGGAAGAGTGCTGCTACTCAGGCTATGTCAAGAGGTTTCCAATCTGTTAAGTAATCTTCACAGTTGTATATTCAGTGATGGCTTAGTGTGCTTTGTGATGGAAATCCAAGCAATACAGTATACTGAGGAAAGCAGAGTTGTGAAGATTGGAGTGCTGTTTTGATGTTTCTGTTCCCTGAACAACTTCAGCAGTTACCCACCAGTGTTCAAATAGAGATGACCTGTGCAAATACATTGACCTTGTTCTTCATTGACAGATGCCTTTGCTTCAAAGGGGAGACCATTTCTGGATTCATTTTAAATGGGAAGATCTGTAGCCTGTCCCCAGAGTAGCTCTAGGAGACATGTACTTCAGGTCCTAGTCCCTTCCTTTACCCAGGTGATGCAGATCTTCACTGCCCTGCTGACATCTCTGAATTTTACCATTCCTGTGCCCTCTACCTGCCCAAGTACCTAGGCCTGTATATGGAGGAGAGATGGAGACTAGTACTTGACAGAGGTTTGATGCTGAGAAACTTCCTTGTTTTATAAAGAAATCTAATGTTCCCTGTGTGTGTGGAGGTCTGTCACCTTACACTCAGTGCAGTTCTTCTCGACATTATAGTAGTCTGTTAAAGTCCTCCAGACTCTAAATGGCTTTTGGAAAACATCCTTCATCTCCTCCTTCATTTACAGAGTTTTTTGGAAGCTCCTCAAGGCAATAAGATGAGAAATAGGTCACTGGAAAGTCAGCTAAGATGCTCCCTTCTGTTGCCATGTTGCCTAGTGTACAGTGGCCTTGGGATCATGCCTTCATTCCTGTTAAACTGTGTTATGCTGTGTCAAACTTACTGCTTGGATGATCTTTTAATGCAGCTTAGAGCTATTATCATTATAAATAAAGCACAGTGAAGTTCCTTATAGAAAGTGTGAAAAAGCAAGGCTCTCTCTGGAAATCCTTAGAGTAACATAAGCCAAAATAACAAATGGAATGCCCCTAACCCAGGGAGGTGAGATTAGTCCTCAATGCTGATGTGAGCATCAGAAAGATTTGGGCAGGTGCACAAGGAGGAAGAGACAACCATTCCCTCCTTGGAGGGGAGTAAAGGGGGGTGAAGGCCACAGGCAGGACAAATGTACATGTGAGGGGAAGGATTAGTATGAGCTGGGCCAGGATGGAAGTATGAGGAGCTTGAATTCAAGGTGGAACCAGAGACTGGTCAAGACAAAGGAGTAATCAGCACAGTGTGAAAGGAAGAGCTAGTACGTGCATCAGAAACACTGCAGGATGCTTGCTGTCAGACCTCTGCTGAGGTCATGTTTTAGAGCTGTGGCTTGCTCAGCCTGGTTACTGTGTATACTTACCGGCTGCTCAACTTTTCAATGTGCTCAGGAAGATGCGTACAGTGATAGCTCTCTGTCTTTTAAGCTGAGGCTTAGAGGTGCTAACATGGTGTCTTGTTATGTTTTTCATATGTTGAAATGCTCAAGTACAGTTTTGTGATCACCGAGTTTAAACTAATGGCCTCATCACTGGATCATCCTAGCTCCACAAGGTCTTTTAGCTGCTGTGTGTAAGGGCACATATGCATAGGTGTTTAAGATGCATTAGGTAACAAGTTACTTCATGTCTTAAAAAATCCCCAGCTGTTCCATATTTGAAAACTGACTGCTCTGCTTGAGACTCTTAAGTCCTGGGGCAGGAGACTCATAAAAACATTTATATGTATGTTCTGGGTATGAATGACGTGAAATGAGACCAGCTTCTGCTCCAGTGAGTTGAAGCAGCTTTTCATGCAGGTTACACTGCAAGGGTGAGACAACCTCTGGATTTGACAGTCTTGACTGGTTGTGCAAAAGGCTCTGTCCCTTACTTTTCACAGGTAGTAGCAAGGTTGAGCATATCTTTGAGGAATTCACTGTTTGTGTTCTGCAGGGATTATTAAATACGTCAGATGTGTCTTGCCACTGAAAGGCGCCTCATGTCCTGTGAAGGAAAGCTACTTGTTTGCTGTGGGTGATGCAGTGGGTTCGTTAAACCCCAATGCTGGATCCTCTTAGCCTCAAAAGAATAATCTCCTTTAGAAAGCCGTCAGTTCAGGCTACATAATCAGCAGAAAGCAACAGTTTGCCAGGCTAGGAGGAGTGGAGGGAGAAACCCCGCTTCTTCAGTCAGTGTCTGGCACAGAATCTCTTGCTGGGAATAGATGATGCTGTTCCTTTCTCTCTAGCTTAGTGTCTAGCAAAGTGCATCTCCTGAGGCCACCTCACAGTATGGCCAAGTATCTTGTAGAGTATGTTTTGTTTTCTGAAGTAATCAACTGAAGGGCAGTAAGACTTCATGGAAGTCCATTACTTGTAGGAGCATTTGCTATGCATCTGCATGAATGGATTTAAATAAATGAGTGTAAATGTAAAGATGCTTTCTGAAGTTTGGTACAACAGATGTTAAATTTGGAAATGTTTGTCTGATTTTTGGATAGGGTATGATGGATTCTTCTTCGTCCCATTGACTTTGTGATTCCACATTGGGGCAATGATGAAGGAACTAAGCTTTTGTTCCGAGAAGGAAGTTTTGTTCGGTTTGCAAGGGCAATACCTGGCAGCTGTGTCTGTGTTGATGGCCACAACACAACGGTGCAGTCATGTCACATTGAATTCCCAAGATGAAGATTCATTGACAGCATTAACTTTACTTTGTTCTTGTAGTTGAGATAGGAGAGTATGATCTTAGAGAAGCAGCAAGATAGATGCTTTCAAAGCTCAATGAATACACAGTGAAGCAGCAATCTCTTCAGCTCTGCCAAAAAAATTTCCAGCCTTTATAGTTCAGCTCATAACACTGTCTTCAGCTCATATAAAGGACAGCAGTAATAACAATATTAAAGCACCCAGATGTAGTTCTGAGCTTAGTTCAGATAGTTGTGGTGTTCAGGTGTAGTAATTGTAATTTGATGCAAGGCTGACCTCAGTATAGCAGTGTGTCATCTTTCTTCTCCTAATTGCTTTTCTTAGCCCTGCTCAGAGCTGTTACTGTGGCACTTTGCTACTGGCTCCCTTCTGAGTTGACGTGACTGCAGAACAGGTTTCGCTGCTCATAGCAAGTCCACAGGAGAAATTTGACATCCTAAAACAGTTACCTGTCATGCTTGTGTTTGTTTCAAATATCAGTGTCCAGACTACCTAATGATTTCGTGTGTTGCTCATGTCTGTTTGCCTCCCTTTAAAGAGAAACCTTGAAGATTTTAACTTGGCCTCTTCTTTTCCCCACCTCATTATTTTTCTACACTCTTCAGCCAACCTAATGACTTTTTTTTTCTCTATTTTTTTTTTTTTTTTTCCCCCAGGAGTATATTGATGCTCATCCAGAAACCATTATCCTGGACCCTCTTCCAGCTATTCGCACACTTCTGGACCGATCCAAGTCTTACGAGCTAATTCGACAAATAGAGGCATACATGCAAGGTAGGCAGATACCTGCTCTCCCTGAAGGTTTTTGTTTTGACTAGAGAAGGAAGTAGCTGGCTTCTGGAGGCTGGAGGTGATGTCTGAAGTAGTGGGTTTTGGGATCCTTGCATTCTGTCTCTCCATGTGAGCACAAGCACTGAAGCATTACTGTGTCACAGGATTGCTCTCTGGAACCTCATGTTCTCTTTCCATGTACACAAAGGAGGTTTGCATCTGGTTAAAAATACGATGTGGATTTAATGGGGAGCATATTTTGTGCAGTGAGCATTCCCAGAAATCTTCTGGAAACAGTGTCTTTTTGTGCATGCTGGTAAATTGAGATGACTGTAGAAACTCAGCAGCTTGCCATAAGAATCCTGAGGCCTGAACTTGGGGGAGATTTATGGAAGAAGAAAAACTGGTTTTGGAAAGGATTGAAAGAATTTAAATTGCAAATAGAGCTATGATCTTTTAGAAGCACTGAAAGCCTATTGCACATGTTAATTACTAGGAGTAACAAATGCATTTCTGTTGTTGGCTAGTTACCTGACATAGACTGTTGTCTTTACTTGGCAGTATTCTCATGTTTAGAAGATGTGCCTTTTCAACCTGAATTATTCTGATACCTTATTATTATTTTAACCATTGGAACTGTTGGGTTTTTAGCCTTTCATTTTAACCCTTTCTATTGCTGTAACTATCTTATTCTTGAAGAATTTATTGGCTTTTGAGTTTAAATCTAGACTAGCTCGTGAAGTAACTGTTTCATATACATGACTGTACTTGGGGAAATCCCATTGCTGAACTGTGTACTAGTTGGGTGTTACTGGAATTGCCATTGTGACTGCATTACCACTATCCTGATTGGCAGATAAGAAGCTTATCAATTTGTATTTTTATAATTGTGAATTTATAGACATGCTGTTTGCATCTGACCTGCCTGGCCCCATCAGCAGTGTCTTTATGTAAAAATAAGACTAATAATTCACAGCACTCTCCCTTGTCTTTTGAAATCTCTTTAGGAGAGAATGCTTAGTTAGTTTAAAAGGATTTTGGTATGGAGTGGTTATTGCTAGTTGTGAATGGGAGAGAGGTGCTGAGGGAAACCTGTGCTCTGAGAAAGTAGTTAGGATTTTGTTCTAGCAGTGGAGATACTCAGTAGGGTGGGTTGTGGAATTTTTTTTTGGGGGGGGGGGTGTGATTTGTTTTTGGGGGGTTGTTTGTTTATTTTTCCTAAATTGCTATCAGTATTGTTACTGTTTACAATTACTATTATTTATTACAGTATGTTTTGGAGAGCATTCCATCTATGTGAGTAGTCTGTCTTGTGCATATTTATTTTGACCTCCTCTGGTCAAACTGATGTGAAAAAGGAATAAATGCTTAAGGAGGAAAAAGAAAAAAGTAGGCTTGTATTCAGTTGAAACTGACACTTTAAAGAGAAGCTATTAATGAAGTAGAGGAATGGGGTAAGGAAAAGCTTCAGCTGTTCTCACTGGCTGATGCAGTGTTAGGTGACCATATTTCCCCTGTCCCTGTGTCATCATCGTCCTCTACACCCTCTTTTCATCTCATCTTATTTCTGTCTCTTCATCAGAAATATCATGATGGACACCTTGAACCAACTTTGTATTCTGCAGGGGAAATCTCAGGAGAGCTGAGTAATTGTCTGTCTTCTCATTCTGGCCTAAGTAGATCAGCCTCTCTATTCCTGCATATAATGATCTGCAGTGAGAATAAAGTTGCATCCCTCTAGACAGTGTCATGGGTTTTTTCCTTTCTCCTTGTTTTCACCTGCTAAATTGTGTTTTCTACTTGCAGCTGTCATGTCATACCCCAAGGCCATGAGCACTTAGGAAACTCAAACAAGAAGTAATACATCTGTGAATAGCATGAGGTCATAGGAGCCACATCTTTTTTTGTTCTAGAATTTCAAAATGGATGTCAATGCCAAGAAAATAGTGCTAGTGCTAGTCTTTAGCTGTAACTGGAGAGCCAAGTTTATCAAAGAAGGATACAGTATTGATGTTATGGGTTAAGTTCAGTGTAAGGGAGTATCTCTTCCAAAGGAATGCCAGAAACTCTGGAGAGTTGTGAATGTGTGTAAGGAGAAATCTTCTGCTGTTGAAAGTCTTTCAAAAGAAAATTCAGTGTTTGTTTATAGACCAGTTTTGGATTCAGGGTGATCGTCACATCTATTTGAATTATGTTTTAAAGTAACTATAAATGAAGTATAGTCTTTACCTATGAGCTTCAGTTTATGCTTCTTTTTGTCCTTGTAGACCTTAGAAGAACTGTATAACTAAAGACTTGCATCAGTTGAGTTAAAGGGAGGATGACCACATACTCTGCCGACTCTAGTCTGCACGCTGCTTCTTCCCTCTGTGTTGCCTGCACCTTTGAAAATGGCAGCTGTTGCTAAGGTGACAGTGTTCTGCAGCAATAGGGACCCATGTTCTATAAACAGCTTGATTTTAAATGTAATTATCCTTCAGATGTCCAAGTTAATGCCTTGCCTGCCCTTTTGACAGTGAATTCTCCATGCTTCCTGAAAAAGAGAAATCTGTATTTAATGTGTTTAAAACTGGGCATCTAGACATTGCTAGGCTTTCTGAAAGTCCTGTAGCTCCCTCTTCATGGATTCAGGTGTATGAGTGATGAGTACTTTGATCCAGCTTCCTGAGAATGGGTTGGAAAAGCACTTTGTGGCACAGTCCTTGTCTCTGCCACCGCAGAGTTTCTGCAGCCACTAAAGGAATGGAGGTGGAGGAGAACTGAGTACTAGGCAAGAACTGTACATGTAGTCCGAAGGAAAGCAAGAGAACTTTCCGTGTCCTAAACTGACACTGTAATCACTCAGTCCTTGTGGAAATAAAAAGTTCACAGATTTGCAGAATCCTTGATGTTGGAAGAGACCTCTTGAGATCATATAGTCCAACTCGCTGCTCAAAGAAGTATATTACAGAGCAGGTTCCCCAAGTTTATCCATTTCGGTTTTGTGTCTCTCTGCAGGTGGAGACTGGAGGACCTCTCTGGGTGACCTGCTCCAGGATTCACCTTGAACCTGGTGTGCTAGCATGCAGCTGTAGCAGTTGCTAGGTGACTTTGCAGACATTATTTTCTTCAGTATACATAGTGATATCTCCCTTGGAAGGAAGTAGGAGGGGGGGAAAAGTCTGTAAGATATATTTTAGCATTGATTTTAATGAATTCTTTTTTTTAAGCAATGGTCTTTTTCCTGTTCTCTGTTGAGTGCAAGCTCTAAAAGAGGTAGTGCTTCTGAAACCTTCACTCCTGAGTCTTTTTTACTAAGGTTTGAGAAAATAAAGGTTGCATTTCCAGTGTGTGTCCTACATAGCTGGCAGGTCTATGTTGAAGTAAGTCACTGAATAGATTTTTTGCGTAGCTGTTGAGTTGTCTTAGCAGCTGTATTGCTTTGTTTACTTATCTGTAAAGAAATGCTTCTGATATAGTGCTCTAGATGAGGTCCTGTAATGTTTGGTGAAAGATTAAGAGCATTATTTAACAGAAATTTTGTTTTAGCAGGGTATTGTATGGCTGGAGCTGTGTCTGTTTTAAGCTTTAACCTCATGATAAACAACTAAATTCTCTGATCTTGTGTTGAAAAGCTGGGATCCTGCAGCCTTGGAATTCAAGATCTGACTTTTTAGCTTATGCCTAGGGTGATAACAGATAATCACTGTGACTAGGCACTAGCTAACCTTTTTGCATTACATATTTAGTTTTAAAGATTAAAAGCTTTTAAAATTCCCCACGTATCTTACAAGTAAGAATCTAAACTGGAAGATTTCAAACGAAAAATAATGTAAACATGCTACTCGCTCAGTGGTCTACCTAGTCAGTGTTCCCATTGGCTACTCGGCTTCCTTTGCTGTCTCAAGTGACTTGGAGGTTTCTTCAGTAATATTTGACCTTCAGATATTGCAGACCCTGGAGTTCATTTCTTTAACCACTTCCACCTGGCTTTTATCATGATTTTAAAATCTTCTGATCTTAGATTCTTAAATTTAACTCCAAATCTAAAATTCATACAAAAACTAGTCTTTGTAGGATTCTGCTAGATGAGAGAACTCCTGATGGGCCAAACTGACTTCTGAATTTGTCTCTTCTAACATCTTTTTTGAAGTATGGGATCTATTCCCTTGGGACACTAAACTAAAGCTCTTTAACTGTGATATTCTAATCCCAGCATGTAATAATTTGTTTGATTATTTACTATTATATGAGATGCAGTTGCTGCTGTGTGCACCCCTTTCTGATTTGGGGGTATATTGCAGAACAGATTATGGCATCCTTTTTCCCTACACTTATTACTAGATTCTGTCTGTCTGACTTAGAAATAACTCCTTGAACAGCTGCAAGTATCTTTTGTGACTAGGAGCAAGGCTCAGCATGATGTAATGGGTAAGGCACTTGATAAGGGGCTCAGGGTTTTCTGCTTGGTGCAGGTTCTGACTTGCTGCATGACCTTGGGCACAGCATCTCATCCTTGTGTATCTCTCTTCTAGTGACACTTGACCTGTCTTTTCCTTTAGATGCCACAGGGCAGAAACCTCTTTTCCAGACATACATACTCTGATATAGAGAGTCTCTGATGCCAAGCAGTCTGTGTGGGTATCCTTTTAACAGAAATTGTAGATCTGTTCTCGATTAGAAAACTGGGTATTTCCCGTTCAATGCCAAAGTAGGTAGTTAGGTTTTATTTTTTTTTTGTAAGTTACGGAGCATGTACATTGCTGGAGTGGTACATACTCAGAACTTCTCAAAATCAGGCCACCAAGTTAAAAGTGCCTGAAAATAGCTGTATATACATAGCTCTAGGCATTCCCCTTTTGAAACTGTGCCCTCTACTCTCTGTGGCCTACTTTTCATACCAGTTTTGGTCAGAGGGGAGGTAGAAGAATAGTCACACAGGTCAACTTCAGGCACCTCTGTCTGTATTTGAAGCTGCTATTAAAATGAAATGAAAAATCTGGTTTTAATTTGAAGGCTCTAAA